TCTCTTCCTTCAATAACAAGTAGCTCGACTTCTATTCAACATAGATTGCTATTTTTTTCACCAAAAGTAATGCAAAAGAACTGGCTTTAAGATAATATCAATAACCTTATAACCCCAAAATTGACGAGTGCCTGGTTCCACCACGTCGTGACATATTATTACCCATAAATCCGCTTGTCGGACTGTAATAATCCTGTGTATGCTACGCAACATTGCTTTTCGTTGCTGGGCTTTCGGCGGAAGAAAGCTTTTCAGGGACAGTTTATTTGGTACACATCATGGTTCTTTTGTAAACAACGTTATAAAAGTGATGACTTGCAACTGCCTTAATTGTGTAATAGCACAATACTCGGTGCAGAAAAGGTATTTGATAAATAATAAAACAATAATGGTATAATAATGATAACCATAGTATTAATACTAATATTATCGATAACAATAAAACCAAAGATAAAAAATAATAATAAACTAATAATAATAAGGAGAATAAGAATAAGAATAATAATGATAATAATAATAATAACAATAATAATAATAATAATAATAATAATAAAGAAGAAGAAGAAGAAGAAGAAGAAGAAGAAGAAGAAGAAGAAGAAGAAGAAGAAGAAGAAGAAGAAGAAGAAGAAGAAGAAGAAGAAGAAGAAGAAGAAGAAGAAGAAGAAGAAGAAGAAGAAGAAGAAGAAGAAGAAGAAGAAGAAGAAGAAGAAGAAGAAGAAGAAGAAGAAGAAGAAGAAGAAGAAGAAGAAGAAGAAGAAGAAGAAGAAGAAGAAGAAGAAGAAGAAGAAGAAGAAGAAGAAGAAGAAGAAGAAGAAGAAGAAAAAGAACAAGAACGGGAACAAGAACAAGAAGAATGGTTATTATAATACAATAATAATAGTGATAATAATAATAATAATAATAATAATAATAATAATAATAATAATAATAATAATAATAATAATAATAATAATAATAATAATAATAGTAGTAGTAGTAGTAATAATAATAATAATAATAATAATAATAATAATAATAATAATAATAATAATAATAATAATAATAATAATAATAATAAAGTATTGTTTCTAACCCTATAAGGTTCCAAACACTTTAAAGGACATAATATAAAATGCATACAATGCACGGTGAATTGTGAAATCATTTAACAATACACACAGACAAGCACATACGCATACAAACACCCGCACACACACACACACACATACACACAATCTTTCTCTCTCTCTCTCTCTCTCTCTCTCTCTCTCTCTCTCTCTCTCTCACACACACACACACACACACACACACACACACACACACACACACACACACATACACACACACACACGCACACACACAATACTCACAGACCCATTCACATTTTCACATCAAGCACAGCTTTGACTAAAAGTTATGTTTCTTAGACTTTTTAAAAGGAGGTTTCGTCTCTTCTCGGATCTGTCACGTTATATTTTCTGCCTTGTTGAGTGCTAGCCACCCTGGGCAGTATCGCCTCCTAGTGGGCTGTTTGTTCATTTTGATGTGTGGTGGGGATCACATCGGTAGTATCAAGTGTTATAATATTATGTCCCGCTTGGGAAAAATAATAATAAAATAATAAATAGCATTTGTATAGCGCATATCCCCGCTCAACAACAGTCAGCAGGCTCTATGTGCTTTACACTATATTATTACCCCAGCAGAGCATAAAACACTCTCAGCTTCCCGGGAAGCAAACAGTGCAAGCAGCTGATTAAGCGCTCAAACACTAACAAACTGACAAGATCTTTCGCTGTCTATAGCCGGGTACCCATTCCCACTTGGGTGAAGTGAGGAAAATTCGTGTAAATTGCCTTTCCCAAGGACACAACGTCGGGCCCCTAACGGGATTCGAACCCACGACCTTACGGTTGCGAGTCCGAGAAGCCTAACCACTAGGCCAACGACGCCACGACATGTAAGTTGGTGATACAAAAATGTTAGCCTCGTAAAGGTGGTAAATTTGGTCGCTGGCAATAATAAGATTGAGAAGCACTGGTCTAAATACTCTAGGTCGCAATCTGCTCTGACCCTGAAAGTCAAACACTGTTAATGTGGGCTGAATAAGATACAGCATTCTTGCAGAAAGTTTGAAATAATGGATGAAACAAAAAGTATTTCTCTATGCCTGTGGAAACAAATTAACGTTTTCTTACAAGGCTCCTAACCAGACCAGGCACCACATTCAAGGTTTCTCTGCCAAATACTTAATGTTTTAAAAAAATAATGGAGTGGGGGCAGTTTAGGGAAAGGGGGTGCAAAAAAAACAACCCAGCCCCACTTTAACTCTTGGGCCATGTGCATCTCAGAACACACGTGCTGTTTGTATTTAATCTGCCATTATCTTCAAGCTGGAACAGTGGGAGTCTATGTTACCTCCCTTTTACTCAAGTCTCTTCTTTTTTTATTTGAAGATTAATAATTTGTCAGACAAAACAATGGCTGAATAATACAATTAAGGATCAATTGTCATCATTTTCTTGAGCGTCTTCACATAACCAGGCCTTCTTACAGGCTGTTTCTTACACTATTTATTTGATGAGGGGGGGGTGAGCTGTTTTGTTTTGTTATGTTTTTGTGTTTTTGTTCTTGTTATTGATGATTTGTTAACTCTCTGTTGACAGATAGGCACGATATACCACTGAGTGGAAGATGTAATAAGGCAAGAAAAAAGACCTGACGTCACCATGTGCGAGATACGATGTGGTGCAAGAGTGGTACTCTACCACCAAGTGTTGTGTCGTCTGTTCTATATGATCGTTCAATTGAATCGCTATTGTGCAAATGTGCACTGAATTTTATGAAGTTCAGTACGCGTGTACTAGCTTGCACATGTACTCGAGAAGCCAAACTATTGCAATTCCATTTTCTTTGGTTTTGAGCCCGATGAGCGAGACAAAATGCTTTGTGATTAATACATTACTACTAATTACTAGAGGTGAGACGTGGGTTCATTGTCTGTCTGTCTGTCTGTCTGGAGGTGTCACCCCCGGCTCAAGAGTCGACGTGCAATGACCCGCCAGTGCTTGTGGTTGCTAGCTGTTGGACCGTGTTTTAAAGGTGTTCATTAAAGTGTGGTGTTGATCAAAATAGACGAATGCTGTAATTCTCCCCATTATTGTTTTACCCGTTTTGGTGGCAAACACCAAAGAAAACCTCTCGGGGCTTAGTTTGTCGTGACCTTCATTAATGAGCTTTTTTAAAATTCTGTTGTTAGACATTGTGTCATACACAGTTAATGATATCCTCCCCCGTTGTTCCTTGCCCACCCTTGGCCCTTTTGCAGCACAATTTGGCGTTTTATATGACCAGAGTATTGTGTAAACTTTCAAGCTCTCTGCATTTTTAAAATTCTATTTCTGTCCTTATATGTCTGTTAGTATATATATATATATGTTTCTCTCTCCCTATCTCCCCCTTTATCACTCTTTCTCTCTTAAATTCACTTTCTATCTCTCACTTGCTCTTAAAAATCCCCCCGAACTATATAAATATA